TTGGACAGGGAAGAGAATGGGGAGTCTATCTGGGAATCAGGTATGCAGTATTACAGTTCTCTAGACACCACTGTCATTTTAGGGTGATGGTGGTGAAATGAGCAGATTAAACAGGACTTGTTGATGACTGGAACTGATATGCAGTAGGGAAGAAAAGTGGTAAAGCTGACAAACCCAGAGTGGATGGTGAAATGGGAACACTAGAAGAGTGGCAAGTTTCAGATTAAGGAAGAGAGATTGATTTTGTGTATGTAGCTGGAATGCTCTACTGAGGAAACGTTGAATTGTGCAGTAATGGGCTCTCCTCATTAGAATAATTTGGATCAGATTGGAAACCTTTCTGGTGAGCATAAAATGTTCTTGCTCTGAAATATGTTTTGATCTAAATAACTAAGTTCCCATTAAACAGTAATGGTCTACCACCAGAAAGTACCATTTTGCTAGAACTGGGTCCCCCAAACAGCTCACGGTTGAAATACCCCCACCCTGGAATTTGCCTGGAATTTGAATTCCTCAGAATCATCCATGTTTGGTTAATAATTAAAAGTTCCTCATACTGTCTAGTTTGTTTGTTTCACCTGTGTACAGGATTCCGATTTCACAAAATCCTCCCAGCAGTATTATTCAAACTAGTGTCAAAGAAAGGTCTCCCTATTCTAGCAACCCAAAGGCAAGTCTCTGCTAGCTCAGGAAGAAAGGAGGTGGGAAGCCACAGAAACTGATCCTGCCCAGAGCCAAAACACAGAAGAGGCCTCCTGCAATAGTTAATCTTCTTTGCATTTTTTCTCACACCCTCTCTGAGCATCTAGAACTTTGCCTGTAAGAGATCAACAGTCATTTATCACTTAATACATTCTTCTAAGGTGGGGATGGAATGGGAGGATGATAATAATTATAGATGTGAAATGAGAAACAGACAAAACTTAAGAGGGAAAGGGAAAGGAGGCAAGAGCATGAAGGCAATTTGTGTGTGTGTGTGTGTATTCTGGCCGTCTTCTGAACACCAGCTGCCACCTCAGTCCTTTAAGGCACAATTAGTAAAGTCATGCTGAATGATCTTTTATTGACTGTCCTATTAAATACCCTAGGAGTAGACTATGTTTATTTGGTACTTCATCCCCACCGGATTCTTCCCCAGTTGTTTACATGACATAAATATTCACCACACACTCCATCAAAGGCCTTAAGATCAGGCACCTTCCTGAGTAGGAAGTCTTCAAATTCCAGTGCAAAACCAGGCCTAATTTGCATCTTTCTGATTTGCATCTCTAAAATAGGAATAAAAATGATGGTGAGAATACTAAAAAACCTGTAGATAAGGTTTCTTGGAGGGTTAAATATTATATACAGTTGAAATTTTGTTAGAAATTGTGAAGGGCTACACAAACTTGGTTTTGTTGCCTTCGTTTCTAAAGTAGATTTCATTGGTTAGAATTAGGGTGCTCGGGTGCTTGGTTGTTGTCTCGCAGAGGGAGGCTTAATGTGAGAGGAACCCAAGTCTGCATTCCAGCTGGAGGTTAACCTACCTTGCACAAAGCTCTTTAGAAAGAAATCTTCCGGTTTAAAAGCTGGAGGTGTGAGAAACATAGTATGCAAATACACAGCGCCCATGGTGCAGCAGCCCTGGCTGGCACCCTGCCCTCCTCCACCCTCCAGGGGTGCAGTGCTCCTACCTCTAGCCGCTCCCCGAGAAATCTCTAGGTCTGGTTCCCAGCAGGCCCGAGGAACCCCAAGTTTAGGATCTGGGAGTTTTGTTTTTTTGTCATTTTTTGTTTTTTTAAACACCCTTTAAAGGTTGATTTTGCAGGCGACCCAAACTCCGAAGCCTCCTAGACAGTAGCAATCAGTTTGGGGTGACCCGCACATTCCCTCCCAGAAGCCCGACGATGGTGCACTAGATAGAATGACCTTCATATTGGGTGAGGAATAGTCACAGCCGCTCTAGGTCGTAAAGCCACTCTGTAGGGGAAACGAGCTGGGCTTTGGAGTCAATTTTCAAGTCATCTCAGAATTGCACTTCCTGCCACGGCAACCAGGAAAACACACCAGAGTAACCTTACAGCGCCAAGAGGAAGGCAGGTGAGACAAGGCGACACTCGGCGACACACCTGGCAGGGGGTCGCTGTCCGCCCCGGAAGAGCGCGCAGGAGCCCGCCAGGTTCTCAACGTCCCTCGCACTTCCGCCGGCTCGCGCCTTTGTAGGCCTGTTTCCACGTGCGAAAAATGGTCACATTACCCAAACTCCCTCGCCGACAGAGGGGCTGGGGTGCTTCAGGAACCACCCGAGAAAACCGGAGTTCTTTCGGTTTTAGTTCAAAGAAAAACAAAACCATCGTAACGCTTCTCTAGCGTAAACAGGGAGCTGACTCAGGTCACCGGTACAGGAAGGACAAATTGGACAGGTCTTATGGAGCTCATGCATGTGAGTCTCCACGTGTGTACCCAACACAAGTGCGTAAGGTCAAGACCCGCCCGCCAAGCTTCAGTGTCCGGTTTACACCACCGTCTAAGGGCCGACCGTTCCGCGCTTGCGCAACAGCCGCGCTCCCCCCCCCGCCCGCCCTCAGCCAGGCCCTATGTGAGTCTACGTGTGTACCCAACACAAGTGCGTAAGGTCAAGACCCGCCCGCCAAGCTTCAGTGTCCGGTTTACACCACCGTCTAAGGGGG